ACCCACAATGGAGCAGAGACAGAGAAGAAGAGGAGTGGTGTAGCGTGCAGCTGTAGAGAAATGTACTGCAGCATTTTCTGATCCACTGACTCTCAAAGTGGGGCCTAGTGATCCCCATGGCTGCTCAAATCCTGCTGTTCAACAAATCAAAAAGGAGTTTAAAATTGCAATTATTTCATCCACTCATGGCGACAAAAGTCTATTAATCTCCATAGCTTTTTTTTGGGTCCTTTCCTATTGATTGAAAGTGGAGAGAGAATAGAAGAAAGGCAAGAAAATGAGACAGCGCGAATGAGACCGGCCTCTGTGTCCGAATCAATCTCCAGATAAGTATGGACGATCGATTCCCCGGCAGCCCATCTACAGTTAAGCACTTCAGTGGATGTGCACTAATTGTCCTGTTGACATTAATTGTCATTAAAGGGCTTAAAACGGCCTCCCGGCTGTGAGTTACATCCTGCGCTAAGGTTGCAACCCATTTGTTTATTGGTGACATCACAGCTCTCCCTGCCGCTCACACTGAGGCCACAGTTAGATCAGACAGGTGGAGCAGGACAGGTTCATTTGGAGCATCCAACCACGCACACTGAAACGTTGACTTTAATTATAAATGTATAACGTCATAACTGAATTAGGTTAGTAATAATACATTTAAATACAAAATATTAGGTTTGACTTATTATTATTGCTATCAACTAACCTAATACAGTTATGGGAAATGTGTTGACGTAATACATTTAATTAGTTTCAGTTTCTTTAGTGCACTTCACACGGATGACATCATCAAGGCGTTTTGTTGTCCCCATTAACTGGTCGGCAGGTTCGAGGAACCCTCATTAAGCTGGAGGGAACATGCCAGGTGTGTGTGTGTGTGTGCACCTCTAACTTCCTGAGGGGAAGTGTAAAAGGCCCCCCTGCATTGCCGTCAAACCCCTTTAACCGGGGGGAATCAATCAGTTTCATTTGGCCTTACAAATTGGTTTGTGTGTGTGTGTGTGTATTCACCCTGGATGTGAATGTGTGTGTGAATGGGGGCCAAGGTGCATAAGAAAGGAGCTGTGTGGAGGGGAGAGGGGCAGAGATGGACACACACCGATGCAAGCCTAACACATCCCTGGAAAAGGGGTCACGACCCCTGCTGCGCTCAAACAGCATTTCAGAGTGGTAGAGACATGGGGGGGTGCTTACCTACCACAGAGCAGAGAAGACACGACAGGAAACATGAGGAGAGAGTTATCTAGATTAGCTACACAGGATAAACACGGACAAGCTCCAAATCATCTCATCTGACCCTCTGATTGGATGCTGTCCTCTCAGCCTAATGCATCCATGTCTGCCTGAACTAGCTCTGAAACACACACATCTGATCCATCTGAACGATTGAGAATATTACTTTCTCTATCAACTTTAAGATGGACAAAACTGACAATAACAGGTGCAACATGTCTGCGGCAATCCCCTTTTGTTATGAATCTAATAAAAGGAACATCCATCTTTTTTTGATGTATCTATTCGTTCCCTTTTTCTATTCCTTGTGTGCAGATATCTCACTGTAACTAACTGTAACATGTACAGCTCTGGAAAAATGTAAGAGACCACTCCGAATCTCTACATGTATGGCAGCCATTCCATTCCAGTGTCTGTTGAATTACAACACAGAGAAATGTTGTCAGTAGTTTATAGAATACAATTAAAATATGTTAATTTGACTCAAACACATACCTGTAAATAGTACAAACCAGAGAAACTGACAATACTGCAGTGCTTTCTTCATTGTTTCCAGAGCTGTATGTGAAGCCATAATTCTGTTATCGTATTCTGTTGCTTTTACCTTTTAGAATATTTAACGGTAATTGTACGGTGTCCTTGGTGGTCATGAAAGGCACCTTAAATAAAATGTATTATTATTACTATTATTATTATCTCTTCCTCTAGATATTTGATGACCTTTTTCATAGCTATCCCTTGAAAATGAAAAGAAACAGCCTATAAATTAAAGTATTAAATTAAGGCTAAAATATACAAATAATTAATTTTTGTATTGAACCTGGCTATACAATTTAACCGTATGTTTTGATAATTAATTTCTCATGGCTTGTAAATCCCTCTGTATTGTATGTGGATTTAAAGGTCCCATGTCATGGCCATTTCTACTGATCATAATTCCATCGTTGAGGTCTACTAGAATAGATTTACATTGTTCAATGTTCCAAACTCACATTGGTTTCTCATCCAGCATCTCTGTAAAGTATGTGTATTCACTCTCTGTCCTAAACGGCTTGTTGGAGCTCCTGCCCCCCCTCCCTGTGAGCCCACTGTGCTCTGATTGGTCAGCTCGCCCACTCTGTTCTGATGAGTCCACCACCGTTACAGCGGAACATCAGTGATTATGTGTTACAATGGCGTTTGTTAGCAACCAGAAAATGACACCAGTAATGACAAACAGGTGAGAATGCTGCGTGGGGTCTGGGTGCCGTGTTGGCGAGGAGCGGACAGTGTGAGCTCTATTACTGGTGTCGTTTCCTGGTTGCTGCGTGGGGTCAGCGAGACATTGCGAAATTCAGCCTGAGCACCATGGAAGGGGGGGTGCTGAGGGGGCTGCAGCACCCCCATCTGCGAGGCTCCACTAGCACCCGCACTCCCAAACGCGGCGCACCTACAGTGTAAGCGTGCCAGTTTCGCAGCTGCGAGGCTCCACTAGCGCGTCACAGTTTCGCCGCTGAGAGAGTGTGTGTGTGTGAGGAGCTCCATGAATTGGTCAATGAGTCCATTTGGGTATGGTCACGTCAATGTAACCAGGAAGAAAAAGAAAATGTCCAACGAGGCGTTCTGGGGCAGCATAGACAGGTCTTCTCTGTGTTAGAGTTGTACTCGCTACAGGGTGTACTTTGAGGGTTTGTGACTCTGCAGACCGTTTACATGCAGAAAAAGCTACATAACACAAGGGGACGGTAATAACCAGAAAAGCATGACATGGGACCTTTAACAATGCATTTTGAAAAATAAACAGATCTTTCTCATAAAACCAAGTAACTTCTTTTAAAATGTTCTGGTGCGGTGATGACGATCTAATTGATAGAAAATATGACTTTCTCTTAAAACTTTAAGATGGATAAAAACTGACAAATATGGGTGCAACATGTCAAACAGCTGCAAACCGATTTGTTTCAATATAAATGAAAGGAACATCCATCATTTGAATGTGTCTATTTTGTGTGTTAAAATATCTCACTGTAACCTATTAGCATTTCCTTTGTTTCCCTCTTCCTCTCTTCCTCTCTGTATAAAGGTATTTCATGGCCTTTTTCATAGCTACCCTATCAAAATGAAAAGAAACAGACTTTAAACTAACTAAATAAAAGTAAGGCTTAAAGGTCATATTTTAGGTAGAACATTTCTTTTTATATTAAAGCTGCTTTAAAAGTTAACCAATATGTTTTTTGTTCTTTACTCATTGCTTCTAAATCCATGTTTTGTCCATGGATGTAACAAGAAACGCAATTTCTGTTTTCTAAGAAACAGATCTTTATTAGAAAACCGAGTAACCTTTTCAAAAATATGTTTATCTATTTCAATGTGTACAACAGTGTCAATGCGGCCATACAAACAGCCTTCATGCCCTCACTGTGCAGACAGTGTGTGCCAGGTGACGGTAGAGTGCAGGAGTTGACTCCTGAATGGCCTCAGTGTTTGCACATCTGCTGTTTACGATGCTTTACTCGGGTTAATTAGCTCCAATGCAACACACATTCACATGATCATGAGTGAGTTAATGTGACCCAATTACTGATCCAAAATCAAATCTGCTGCACAAACTTTGAGGCCCTCAATCAATGCCCCCAATAGGCTGCTGATACCACTCAGCTGACGGGGATTTACTGATCCCCTAGTGGCCGGATGACTCAACTACAGATGGTTTTCTTCTTCTGCGCCACACAGAGGGAAGTCATTCCTAATGCTGCGTTCTATTTGTACTGGGAAGTCGGAGTATCCCAGTTTCAACTGTCAACGCCCCGAGGCCAGAATTCCTACTTGGAAACTCTGAGATACCTCGCTATACCCGAGATCATCATTAAAAATAGAGTCTCCACTTATAAAGATTATGAGATCACTTTGATAATATAACATTTTAAACTCTTCTGTATTATTTGTATCAAATTAAATCAACTGTACATATGGCGCTGCTCATCTTCTATCTGTGGATATGTTGCTACGATTCACAAAATAAAAAAGAAAGTGTAGTTATCAACCGGTAATGCTAATGGCTAACCTGAGGCTACTGCTGAATCTGTAAACAAGGCACACATTCATGGCAACGTTCCAACAACCTGGGTGTGAGGTCAATACCAGATCCAACCTCCGACTCCCAATGGAAATGGAACGCTGCATTAGATATTTGAGCAAAACCCGTCCCTTCAGAAAGCCCCCCCTCCACTTCCCCTCTCCTCTGAAGGGTTGGAATAAACAATGCCCACACCTTGAACAGGCCCACTGATTCCACAGCCATTGTTCTGGAGAGGACCGGCCAACAAGTGGCTCTCCCACTCTGTTACCACCGGACACCACTGTCTGCGCTGGGTCTTTATGACTGTTATGCCACTACCACTACCACCCCATCTCCTTGTGATTGACAGCGCTACCTTGGCTCTCACTGGCCTCATTTGCACCAAGAACAGGAGAGGAGGAGGAGGAGGACTAAAGAGGAGGGGAGCAGGAGAGGAAGAGCAGTGAATGGCACCATAACATAACAATGCACTTGGGGGCCAGGTTGGCAAACACAGCTGGGCCAGCAACAGTGAAGCGTTTAATGAGTCATAACTCTAAAGAGACAGTGGGCTACTAAAACCACTTTTACTAGATTGCAGTCCCTCTCTTATACCCACACATTACTATGAGTTTCATAGCTTAACCACATGTGTATATTAGCATAGCGTTGTGCACAAATGTCCCATATCGAACAGATTGTCTGTATACGATGAAACAGAGGGTGTAACACTCACCTCAATGACCTGTTTGGAGTCCAGCCTGAAGTTAAAGTCCCCAAACACGAAATATGGCAGCCTCTCATGCCGCTGGTCCGTGATCCTGAAACACATTACAACATTGTAGTCAGTTTTATACAGCCATAATCACAATCATCATTCCTCATGAACAGAAGTCTTTAATAACACTTCAAATCCTAACAACCACCATCTTGACAAGAATGAAACGACTTGTTGAGGTTTTTTGAAGCCTTCATTTGATGACTCCCCTGACCTCAGGGTAGTTAGTTCATGAAGGCCACAGCACCACCTGGTGGTGAGAACACTCCAATAAGAAGACCTGGGTCAGTCAGTAAGACTTCATGTGAAGCTTTTTGACATCCTTTGTGGTATGACATCATCTTTGGCACATCAGTTACAGGGCATTTATGATTAACCACAGGAAGGATGTAATAAAGTAAGGGACAAATAGAGAACATTAAAGAAAGCATGTCACCTGAGAGTTACATTTCCAGGAACAGCTGGGGCCTACAGTATGATGATGAATGAAACTGCTCGTATGTCATGATTGAGATAGAAAGCTGACAGACAGACGTCCCAAATATTGTCTCCATAATAATCATTTTTTAAGTCAAGTCAATATTATTGGATCATTATCCAATAAAGTTACAATCTGAACCTCATACGTGATTTATATCCTTTGACACCATCCTTTTGGATGAAGAAAAACTATCCAAAATAAACTTTAAGATTTCTTTGGGTAACCAGTCCCTTATTATAAAGAAAGACTTGAACCGGGGAGACACACCAAAAGAAAGACACATAGGCCGAATTCAAACCCGGGTCAAAGCCCCAGTACACGGGCCCCCAGCTCTACCAATTGAGCTGTAAAGCAAAACACTTTTAACAGGGAAAGAAACAATGATTTATTTACAACTGTTTGCATTCAGGAAATGCAATTTCCAACTTTACAAATACGTAAAGGAAGACAGCATCTTTCAAAGGGATTTGAGAAAACAGTTCCAACAGTTAATTCTCAGCTGACACCACAATTAAATCAATAAATCGAATCCTGATCATTTGCTTTGATGCCAAAGAAAATTCACTTTATGAAATTGATCAAAGAGAGAGTGAAACAGAGAAGAAACCTGAGGATATTTTCCATGTTGGTCCTGTATCCATCCGTGACAGCTGCCTCACAGAGAGATAAGACGGCTGAGATGTGTTGGGGGGGGGTTCATGGGTTTACACGAGAGTCAGAGAAACGGGCTCTGAGGGACCGCGTCCACGCAGGCTGCCCCAGGCTCTGCTTCACTAGCAGTGCTCCTTATGGGACTTTTGATTTTTGATACCTCTTAAGGGTGTTTTAATCTGGCATGTTTTACTGTCTCCTGTCTTGTGAATGTTGTTAATGTACTGTATGCATTGCTTTTTAAACCTTGGTATAGTGTCAGAGAATTTAGATCATCTGTGTCATGGACGACTTCCAAAACTCGGGAACCTCGTGAGCATCCCAGTGCTTTAAAAAAATAAAAGAACGCACCTAAGTGACATATAATTAACTCCTATGCCTCATCACCTACTTAAAAGTGGCTTTTCTACAGAGCGCAGATAGGAAATGAAGGTGGACGCAGCGTCTTGTGTAATTAATGATTCAGGATGCTTGGCTCGCTATCTCCACTAAACGCGCGGATAAATCTCACCGTGGACTTCCCAGGCCCAGATAACAATATATTTATGAGGCCGTAAAGAGAGAAGGAGCCTCCTCTTAGTGGTGGGTCTGTGCTTTGGCCGGCTGTCGTAAAGCACGGACCCTTCTTCTGGGGGCAGAGAGAGGGAATGGCAGGGAGGCGAAGGTGACTGAAGTAAAGAGGCGGGGAAAGCAGCTATTATATTAAATGGAGTAATTGGGACATTATGTTAAAGAGAAACCTGTCTTTCAGCAGAACAGGGTCAACACAAAGACAGGACTAGCATTCAGGACGTCCTGTCCAAAATGACAGATAACATGTTCCATTGTTATAATTGATATGATTATTCATTTACAGGACTGTTCTAGCATTAAGATGAACAGTAGAAAGAGTATAGTAAAGTAGAAGGATAGGAGAAATAATTTGATATGATAATATTTTATTTTTGAAGAATATGGATCCTTAGTTGCCTTCTTGTAGTTGCAATATGGGCTGCAACCGACAAAATATATAATAATAATATAATGCTCTTGTTTATAAGCCATTTGGTTATGACCATTTTTCCGTCTCACTGCCATTTATATCATTTATTTATCCAAACATTTTCAGTGACTGACCAAAAAAAAATCAAACATCAATTCTTGACAGGTCACCAATAGATGATTCAAATACTCATCTTTCAATGGGAAAGGCAAAGGGACTTCTTAAAAAGCTCAAAAGTAACCAACAAGTTTAGGGGTTCGGGGTTCCCAGTAAAGCCCTGGACAGGCTCCAGTATGTGCAGAACTCGGCTGCCAGGGTGCTCACTCACACCAAGCCCTGGCAGCACATCCCCCCCACCCTGATCCACCTCCACTGGCTCCCAGTCAAGCACCGTATCACCTATAAACTCCTTCTTCTGACTTACAAATCCCTCCATGCCCTCGCCCCCCAATACCTGTCTGACCTTCTCCGCTACCACACTCCATCCCGGAAGCTAAGATCATCTGGACAGGATCTCCTCTCCACCCCCCACACCAGGTTGCGGACTTTTGGTGACAGAGCATTCAGTGTGGCATCCCCCACCCTCTGGAACTCTCTCCCCCCCGAAATCCGCAGCGCCCCAACCCTGGACATTTTCAAAAAAGCCCTCAAAACGCACCTTTTTACCAAGGCTTTCTCCACTGTATAGTGAGTTTAATAGGTTTATTTTTCCGCTACTTCCCCCCCCCCACCCCCTTAACCTGTCTGCCTTTTTTCCCCTACTCCCCCCCCCCCCCCTACCCGACTTGTAAAGTGACCTTGGGTTTCCTGAAAGGCGCTATAAAAATATGATATATTATTATTATTATTAAGTAACCAAAGGGCCAAAAACAAATGAGATGCTCTGGTTGTGTGTGCAAGAGAAATATTTATATAACAGTCGCACAAGTGTTGTAGGTGTGTGCACAAACACTTGTTGACAACTGAAACAAACTCACTGTGTGTGGCTGTGGCTAATTTATACACTCAGCCTGTGACTGATGTCATTAATGACCTCACATCCTGGTGCTAAGAGACTCGGCTCTATTCAAACAGGGTTAGTGGTCAGTTTATCCTATTGGCTCCGATGGAGGGCAGTAACATGGCTGTGCACAGCGTCAGGGCAGTTGTTATAGGCGTGGGAACTCTTGTCTCCCTTGTGCTCTTAGAGAATGTACCCCTTCTGCTGCTGTGAGTGACGAGTTTAAGCAGAAGAGAATGTAAATAGATAAATAATAAACTCTGTTTCACATGTAATCTGTATGATCATACAAATAACAAATACAAATGTATGTATGAAGGGGATGAAGACAAAAAAGCAACTAGAGAATGCAATTCCGAAGTAATGTCCTTATTGATCTGCATAATTTGATGTTCAAACAGCATTGTAAAATGTGGGAGAAGAAGGCAATCAATAAAGGCGGCAGGATTTGTACAGATGATGGACATATGCCTCTCAGCATTCACACCAAATGAGAAAGTGTTTGTGTCCCACAGCCTGGGGGTCTTCCTCCTCTCTGTCCTGTAGCTTTAGCCCGCTAACAGCCATGTCTAATACCCGCAGCCTCGCTGTTTTGTCTGCTGCTCCAAGGTATCAGCCACAGGTCAGAAGGTAACACTCTGTTTACACGATCATTTCCTAAAGCACTCATGGTGACCCGCTGGTGTGAAAGTTGACTTTTTTCTTGGCCTTTGTGGGGGGGAAAACGAAGAATTGCAACATTAGCTACAGCTACTGGGCGTGAAAAGAGCCTGAGGGTGGGGGGTCCCGAGCTTGGGGGGCCTCTCGAGCTGACCCTCACCCTCAGCGGGGGCCCCATTAGCCTCGTCATCACAGTTCATTCATGGAAACTGTAACAGTGTCAGTGACATTCTCCCACAAAGACGCACTCCTTTACACAGTCTATAAACATGCTTCTCCGGGCCAATTCATCGCGCAGTGACACCCTGAAAGAGGCTCTTCACAAGGCCCGTTCTCACTGAGGCTTGGGCAGGGGCCTTCTTCAGGCCTTCCTAGGGGCCACACAAAGACTGGGGTCAGACGCTAATTTATAACATGGCCCCCGACTCTGCTCCCAGGCTCCTTTAACCACCAGCACAATGCAACCACAGCACATTCTCTGATTGTGATTGGAAAGCTCTCACACACAGTTATGGTGCCGCCAAAGGGAACAAATGCGCAAAGAAACTGTGCCCAAGAAAACATTGAAATGCTCCACGATAAGGACAACATCTTATTCTCAGAGATATCACTAGTACCATAAAACCAAATACATCTTTCTCCTTCACCCCAGCCTCCATCCCTCACCGGTTCCTCACCAGATTACAGGCTGTGATTGACAGCTAAACTGAGCCATAATAGACAGTCTATATGAGATTATGAGGGTGCAACGGGGGGCCATGTCACGATTATATTGACAAGATGACTTACCATAAGTTGTCCGCTCAGATTGGACTTTGCACACAATAGCAGGGCCGAGCGCAGTCATCCATTGTAAGTAAATGTTGAGATTTTGGGAGAATGTTAACATTGTGAAGAATGTGCTGGGTGACGTCTTTCTGAATAGGACAGGGGTGGCCCCTGACAGGACCTTTGACTCTGCGGGACGGCCTTCCCCTCGTCACCCTGTTAGCTCCTCAGTAACGCCCATCCCTCCAAGAACACCATGCAGGGGAGATGGGTGCTGAGGGGGTGCGAGGATGCTGCTGCGGTCACACAGAGGTTACTGAATAAGTCAGGTCGAGCCAACAAAACTGTCGAAAAACAGACTCATGATGAGGAAGACACATTCAGTAGGTGGAGCCAACTGAGTAGAAATGTGAGGAGCTGTGCTCTGTGGCAAAACGTCACTGCGCTGGCACTGCCGTTGTGTTTTTATGTAGAGCGGTGCCGCCTAACAAAACAGAACTG